AATATTCATATTAACCTAAAACAAAAGGCTGGAAAATTCAAAAATAGAATTAATTTGTAACTATGGTGCTACACTCAGAAATATTCTAAAAAGGGCAGTGGGTCAGATACCTCAGATGTGTCTGCTCTGTAACTCTTCATTCCAGAATTTCAGACCCGCAGGGACCTACGTCAAGAGCCTACACATAAAGATATAAAGCACTTCAAATTGTGTGCATTCATCTTCCCCTGTAGTTAACCTGTCTCTCTTCAGTATCCTTTTTGGGCAAAAGTTTTCTTCCTGTATTTTCTTTTAATGATTCCTCACCAAGTCAGTTTACAACTAGATGACTTTTGTAAACCAGATGCCCTCGCATGAAGCTTCTATTCCAGACGTCTAATCCGTGACCCGGGAACACGGCAGTGCTGTAATCCCTGGTGTAAATGCAGCCATACCGTTTACGTGCTGGTCGACACCTGCATTACAAACGCTTAAAATAAGGTTCCTCTTCATGTACTTAAGCGAGAAAGAAAAAATTCTTTTTGTAGTATCTTACGTTGGCTTCGGAATGGTACGGCACGCGCTGCGCACTGGATGTGGCAGCGCCAGGTCCTGCCGCGCGTCTCCCGGGCGGCGTGCGGTCAGCCGGGAAGAGCAGCGGTGCCCAGCCTGACTCGGGCGCTGCTCCTGCTGCCCCTCCACTCCTGCACGCTGGGGTGCAGGGAGAGAAACAGAGAAACAGTAGCCAGAAAGCAAGGGAAGGAGAAAAAGGGCTTGTCTGTGGTGGATTTGGACAGAAATCAGCAGCCGGGAGTCCCGGTGAAGAGCTGTGGGGCAGCGACGTGAGGCTCCGAGCGTAGAGAAGGAGGGAGCGAGGAGGGGGCTGGGTTGTGAAGGAGAGATGCATCCAGTCGTACGATAGGGAGATCCTTAATAAATACACTGGGCTCTGCTTTCGTCCACCTTCTGTTCTGCACGCACCCTGTTGTACTCTAACCACTGGTTTAATACCACTGGTATAATCCAAATTTACTGCAGTACCCCCCAGCTAATAGCTATATTAATTCTCATAACCCTGCAGCCCATTGCTTGTATGACGAGTGGAAGAGTCCTTAGAACATCATTCTGCTTCTTTTACTCTACATCTGCCAGTTGGAAGTGCCTCAGGGTGTGTCTGACTGGAGTTCACAGGTTGTGGATACAGGATCCTCAAGCGTGAAGGAACTTACATTTTCAAATAATGACACTTAGTCTTTTTAGCGCCCATAGTAGGTCTCCAGGAAGTAACTGGCGACATTAAAACGCAGGCTGTCAGACCTCAGGCCACGATGTCTACCCCTCGCCCACCAGGATGAGCGTAGCGCTGTGCCAGAGGAAAGGCTGATCTGCTTGTGAAACCCCCCCACGAACCAGGGAACACGGAGCCACAAACTCAGAAGAACACGTCAAACTTCGACCTTTCACTCTCCATCCTCCCCCCAAAAATCCGCTTTGGTGCTGAAGGTTGTGGCATCACTTCAGCTTCAGACTGCAGAGTAGGTTGTGATGAGTTAACTTTAAAAACACGCGTTTGTAGGCTTCCACATCTGAGCTATTCAGGCAGAGTGTGTTTTGTGTTGAGATGAAAGGAACCACAACCCCGAGGTGCCTGCCCCTCCCCACAGAAGATGGCTACGCCCGAGGCAAACATCACAGCAGGGACATCATTCAGACAGGTGAGTCAGACTCTCTGTTTCCTAAGTGAAGTGCAATGTAGGAAGCATCTTGACTGTTCGAGATGCTGAATAAAAACACCACATCGGCTTCCCCCTGACATTCAAATAAATAGAGGGTTTAAGGGGATTTGAAATTGTTAGTGATTTTTTTGTGGAATGAAGGGCTTCATCACTGCAGGTACAGGACCAGTCTGTCTCTTGCCTGCTTGTTATTCTTTATGTCCATTGCAAATTAAGTTTTATCCTGTACCTTTCCCCCTCTGCTATTCATCTGTAGTAATTTGATTTCGTTTCCTCTTTTTTTTTTTTTAATATACAACTCCTGACTTGGCCAAGCTGACTGCTTAGTACAAGTTACATCCTTTGTTTGCACTGGGATAGCTGCTGGCTGTGACCCTGGTATAGCTGGTTGCTCTAAAGAGAGCGTCAACTCCCCTAAATCATTTTTTTTCTTTACACTTGGTTCCTACAGGATCTTACCAAGGGCTTCTGTCAATTTACTGAATGTAATTTATCTTGTTGTCTCTCTCTCCTTTCCTTTCAGAATCATGAATGTTGTCACTTTATGGTTGTTATCATCTAACCTGCCTTTCAGCCGTAACCGAATCTAGTAAAGCCGCCTCTCAGCTGCTTTCTCTACTTCATACAGCGTATTTATTTCACATGGGTTCCAAGAACTTACCAAAGAGCCCATCTCCTGATGTAGACGTTTCCAAATAGACACCCACTAGGTAAAATTTCTCAGTCTCACCAGTGCAGTTGTTTGGATGACTGTCAGTTGTTAAAAAAAAAAATGATGTGGCGCATTTCTGTGCAACTCTAGCACAAGCCCTATGCTTGACAACCTTTGTCTCTGTGCCTGCAACCTCTCCCGCTCCCCACATTGCTACTGTGAGTAAGATAAATTGTACCTGAGAGGTGTGTGGTTTTCCCCAGTGCAGGTTTTCCCCACAGTGCAGACAGACATACCCATTACAGATGTCTGAAGTTAGGCAAGATGGATCCCACGGTTCCAGTCTGATCAAGGTCCTCTGACACATCTGGATGCCATCTACCAGTATCTTCACTGTGAGAGCAGTTGCTCACGTCCACTGGTAGTGCACATTTCATCAGTTTCAAGACAGAAATACTAGAAAAGGAGCTGAACATATCTAACAGAGAAAATCTGAAGAGAAAATCTTCTAGGAAAAAGCCTTTACTTGAAGTCAGTTTGTTTTCACTACAGAGTCCCAAGCCCTCTGCTCCTCTATTAAATGAACATTTGGGGATTCACAGCAAAAGGCTATTTGTCCTAGCAGTGGGGGTGATACTTTACTGAGGACTCTTAATAACTTTTAAAAACAATGTAAAATTGGGTAATCTTTTGCGTTTTAAAACATTGTTGGAAATGGAAATACAGTACTTCATATGAATGCTAGTACATTTATCCAGCTTTTCTTTTAAAGATTTGAGCGGCGCTTTTTAGATCTAAATTTAGATTTACGAGGAGAGGCTGAGGCAGCTGGGCTTGTTCAGCCTGAAGAAGAGCAGGCTGAGAGGGGACCGAATAAATGCTTATAAATATCTCAAGAGTGGGTGTCAGGAGGATGGGGCCAGACTCTTTTCAGTGGAGCCCAGCGACAGGACAAGGGGCAAGGGGCACAAACTGAAGCACAGGAAGTTCCGTCTGAACATGAGGAAGAACTTCTTCCCTCTGAGGTTGATGGAGCCCTGGAACAGGCTGCTCAGGGAGGTTGTGGAGTCTCCTTCTCTGGAGATATTCAAGACCCGCCTGGACAAGGTCCTGTGCAGCCTGCTGTAGGTGACCCTGCTTCGGCAGGGAGGTTGGACTGGATGACCCACAGAGGTCCCTTCTAACCCCGAACATTCTGTGATTCTGTGATGTGAAATACTTCGATGACGACCCATTTACCCAATAAATTTTCTGACTTTTTTAAAAGAACCTGCTGAAATAATTATAAGAACCATCCCCCTACTCCCCCCGCCTTGTTTTTTATTAAAAGACAGTTCTGAAAATGGAGGCTTACGCATTCATTAGATTTTCACTGTATAAAAATGTACAGTGGTTTTATTGACATGTACATTCCATTATGTTTACAGCTGCAAGATATGAGGCACACTCAGTATTGCACTTCATTAAAATTTCAGGCTCAAACATAACCCAGAAGTTTAAATGAAACTGCTGTTGTAATTTAATAATTCTTATACAGGACAAACATTGATACCTTTATATACAGCGTGATACTTGTTACATTTATGCCTTCCTAACACAATTTCCTTTTTTTTATAACAGTCTAGGAAATAAACCAGAATATTCCTCTTTCCCCATCCCCACTTGTGATGCGTTACAATTGTACAAGATTACAAAAAGTCAGTATACAATAATCAATATTTTTTCTTTCTCCTGAAAGCCAGCATCATTCATAGTCCACAGACACACAGATCCTTTAATAGCAATTATTTATTTGTAAATGTCCAATGTTTCCTAGCCGATGACTGTAATGGCCACATGCAAACACCTCACAAGTTTTGATGTCTCGGTTCAAAAAATGTCAATATCTCACAGCAAGAATTATGTACACGGTATTTGGCATCCTTCTTGCACTGTAAATTGTTCCTTTTACCTGGGTTATGAAATGGTCCCGTCCTCATCCCAGCTGGACTTTTATTTTCAGGACACTTGAGGGATGAGGGCACCTGTTTTGCTCTGGTAAAAAAAAAAAATTGCTAGTCTAAAAAGTGTGAGCATTTCTGCAAACCCCACAACCCAGAGCAAACTCTTCACCAGTGGGTGGATGGACAACATGAAGTGGACATTCTGTTCCTTCAAGTTGTTTACCTTTGGGACCTACAGTGAATTTAAGGGGAAAAAGAAAAGAGATTAATGCTTGCAGACTCGATGTAAATAAACATACAGTACTTTCCTCAAAAACATGCCAAGTGAAGGTAAGACGTCTTATAACATGAACTTATAAGGCATCAAAAATGAAGGCTTAAGAAACAGCAGACAGAAAGGTGCTTTCACCCAGTCGAACTGAAGCAAAAAGTCTAAAGGCTTAACAGGCCAAGAGAAAAAAATGTCAGCTAGATCTGACAAAACATGACCAAAACCCGCTAGCTCCTTAAAACAGTTATTTGAACAGAAATATCAACTGCCATGTAATTTAAGATCAAACTGCCATGTAATTTAAAATAAATCAAATTCAAAGTAAAAAAGGCAAAAAGCTTATAGAGACAATCACTAAAATAAGTTTAATCTCATTAATACTGTGGAATAAATTCACACAATCTAAAAGCAAAATTGATAAATATGAACAAGAGCTTCACTCTGCAGTAAAGCATAATTCTGAGGTCATACCAGGAATCATGGTGTTTTTTTTGTTTACTTCTTTCATGTAAATACCTTCACCAAAAAGATCTCACCTTTTTTTCAGCAGCAAGGTAAATGATACCATTTATTGAGACCAATCAATGGCACAAGACGTTAGACACCAAGGCACTGGGGTGACAGTTTGCACGTGACAGGTACCCAAGTACAGGTGTAGCCTCTAACAGCAGCGTGTTGATTTTTTCTATAGAATTTTAACACATCATTACACAGCTGAAGTCCGCATTAAGCGTTGCTAAATTGAAACGTCTTTCTTTATCAAAGCTTCCGGTGTTCAACGGATCAGTGTGATGACATTGCCTGTGTTACTGCCAGCAAACCAAAAAAATCAAAGCCACGCACAGAACAAGCCCATTCTAATATCATTCAAGATACTGAATTTAAAATTTGCATGACTGACCCTGTGGTCTTCCTAAAAATTATCAGCAAGAGAAGTTCAGTAATTAGTTCCAATTGATATTCTGATCTCAGAATTCAGTGTGGTAAATTTGCTTGGTAAAAATACTACCTGCAGGACAGTGTGGGAGCTCTTCTTTCGGGATGCTTGTCATTCTTTGGAAATCATCATGGCAAGCGTTGCAAAAATGCGTTGTCCCAAAACAGAAAAAAACAGCGACTGAACAGCAGTAGCGACATTTGTACTCCAGGAAATCTGTACCGTGTTTGGGACACATCTGAACAAAAGAAAACAGACAGCGGTAAGGGAAGTACCCATGCTGCAACAATCCCAACAGCACCTTTCTACATTCTGCAGTGTGCATTAACATTATACAATATTACACAAGACATGTAATTACAAGTGACTGACTGATTCTACAGCTCAGGTACTCGGAGCTTCAGAACGAAATAAAAACACGAATGCACGTTCTTGACTTACCTGAGCCCTTGAAACATCAGAGCATGCACCGCAAATAAGCTCTCTTGGATCATAGTCATCTCCTTGTCCAGCCTCAGCATCGCAACGAGCTTCACCACCAAAATACGCCTTGATTGTATACAGAAATGATTGGACATGAAACCAGAGACAACCATTATTTTAACAAATTCAATTTGTCAGCGGAAAATGATGAATAACAGCCGTTACAGTAGTCTCCACTATTCTGGTATCTCTTGACTCTGTCCCTAGATGTGTGTTGTTGAGGCAGTGAGACAACATCTCTCAATCTCAGAATAAACAAGACCAAAAGTTGTGCACCATACTCTGGTCTATGCAAGTGACTGCAAGGCTTTTGAAACAGTATTTGGATGCTCTACGAACTACGCAAGAAAGACAGGACTGAAGCTGAAGGCAGCAGAGAAAACGTCTTCACAGGAGGGCGTTTTACTAGCCATAAGGAGTATCGGTTTTTAAGCTCACGTGAGATTCTTTATAATTAGAATTTTGCTATTTTCTACAAATTCGTTCTGCTTTCTCGTCTTACTCTACCAGGACACACTGGGCACAAAAATTTACCACGTAAGACTGCCAGCTCTGATGAATTTCTTCATATACTGAGGTGTTTTCACGTGGAGTGGTGAGGTGAGTAGCTTCCTTCCTTCGTTACTATCTCATTAACTAAATAGACAGCGCACAAAATTCTTGCTCTTGGCAATTCTTGCCTTTCTGCAGTAATTGTAAAAAGAACATGGCAAGTGGTCTCTAGGCAGCTATGAGGAAGGAAAAACCTAAGCAGCCCACCTTCCCCTAAACTCCACAGGCTAAAAAGAAAAGGGAGTCCTATGGCACGTACGTCAGGGGATTAGGTAGTCATTTGGGGTCAACAGGTGCTGGAGGAAGGAGAGAAATTAGAAACTGAACGTTGCTGTTCAGACATACGGACATGGTACAAAAGCGAATAACGAGATACAAGGGAAGGAAAAAGAGGGCAGTAAGAAAAACACTGAAATACCGAGTATCAAATACTGGAAAGAAAGTGTAATGAAAAACAGGAAAGGACTAAAAACTGGAGCAAGTAAGATGCAAAAAGGAATTATTTTTGTAAGGCAGGCAAAAAAGGCGGTAGCCAAGTCACTGAGGGATAAGCAAAAACTGATTAACTGTGGGAGGCAGGAACAAAAGTGAACCGAGTAACTGTTGTAACGAGCTACAGGGATTCATTACTGCTCTTCTCTAGCATATGGAAGTTAATCCTTTCTCCTCTTATTTCCAAATTGTGCACTTCCATTTAACAAAAAAAACTATTGGGGTTTCCTTGAAAATTTGATCATGAAACTGCCTTATTCCATTCACTCCTAAGGGAAACGGAAAAAGATGTGATCAAGATGGGCACTAAAATCAGCTTCAGGTGAAAGAAGCAATGGGAGGGGTTCAGTGATTATCCAAACTTTCTCTAACCGTAGTCTCTAACCTTAAAGAACATTTGTCCCTTCTCTGCTGGTGGGAAATCAGGGGCTATCTGTGTACGATTTCTGTCTTCTGGATAAATTTCGTGTTCTCTACCTGAAGAAAACTGTACATATATGACCTGGAGTCCAGCAGGCTAGAACACACATTTCCACTTTCTTCTTACAAAGTCAGTTTACTGTAGTTCCAATCGACTCCAACTAGGGTAAAAGTAATATTTAGGTGGAATCTTAGTGAGGAACTCCCTGTATCAAACAGTTAGAGCAAAACCTTTATGTTATTTTAACGTTCATGTAAAGTATGAGTTGGAAGTGGGACAAAGGGATGGTTGGTGTCCTAACACAGTCTCATCTGCACATTCTTCTGAGGAGGCTGTCACCTCTATGCGCTTTTGGTTTCTGAATTGCTCCGTATATACCTTTGAGCTTTATGAGATAAAACACTGCATACATCTAACTTGCTCAATGCTTTTTAAATTATGATTCAGCAACATAATTTCTTTTCCTGCTTTCCTACTCCACACATAGAGTACTAAATACATGTTCTATTCTTCAAGAAATTACTTTTGAAACTGTAACATACATTTAGTTTGAGGAAGTCCTACTTGTCATACCTTTTTGCACTTGTAGCAAACATAGTAAGCGTATCTGTTCATAGCGTAGCCAGCTGGGTCGTTATAAAATCTGACACCTGGTGTTGTGATGGCCTCGCTCTTGTGCAACCCTTCATACTCCAGTCTCATTAGCGCTTTTCTCCGTACGTCTTCATAGAGTTCTTTGATTGGATCAAGCAAATCCTTTAATACTGAATGATTGATTTTGTTCTGAAACAAAAAACTGATTAAAATATCTTGCCTCTTTATTACAACAGCTGTGATAATTTGTATTATGGCCAAACACAAATAGCATAATGGATGTCATAAAAAACAAAGAGCTCGGGCAATGGACATTTCAAAAAATGGCTGATATAGCATGTACTTTATTTGCTGCAAAAATAATATCCAGGAATGCTTTTTATATGGCCTTTTGTGATATGAAATCATCAGCCCTTACAACAGACTGTAATGACTGCAGAGGGATAGTAAAGGGTATGTGAAATATTCACCACAGCACAGGAATATTGTGATTGTATGTTTTCTCTGATTTTGTTCCTTTTTGACTTGCTGCTCAGCAATTAAGAACAGTGACTGACAGTCCTCTATGCCAGGTCTTTATCATTTAATAGTCACAAGCTGTTGCCATAAATTACCAAAATACAGCACAAAGGGAAACACACAGCACGCAGAATGGCTGACCATTCCCGAATTTCATATTCCTAGGCTGATGAGGTACTCTCCTTCCCACCAGTTATCATACGCTTTTGCTTACAGCAATTATGATTTTTTTAGAGTACGAGAGGAATTTTTAGTAATTTAAGCTGAACTAAGTACGTATATTCTTCAGCTCTGTCCTCACACTGGAAAGCAAAGCAGCCTTAAAAGGGGTTAGTGACATAGAGAAGCCGCGTTTCCTGCTTCAGATAATGTGCATTAAGATTACTTCTTCCTCCCGTGCCTGCCCCAAATATTGGAAATTTACAAGCTCATGGTGCTAAGAATAAAACAATTAAAATAATGTCTGCATTATGCTTTCTTTTTAAGAGGACCCTTACTTCAGGGAACAGTCGGGGAAGGTAGAAGAAGGTAAAAGGAGGTGCATCGATGATACCTGTTCTTTACTGACATAAGAAATTAAGGAAACAAGTGACGTATAACTAATTTATATTGTAACAAGCAATACATTATTTAAAAAAATAAAAAAGGAAAGGAAAACCAAAGACAGTATTAGGTAACTTGTTTGACCTAGGCAGTAAACACGTAGCTCATTTACCTTGCAAATAGGACAGGACATAAACCCAAAAGTTATCCTTGGCCCAAGCCATCTGTTTTCTAGTACTCGCTGACAGCACTGCAAATGGAAAACGTGGCTGCAGTCCAGCTTTAGAAAAGAATAAATGTAAGTGAACACCGAAGCTACATTAACCACTGAAACAGAAGTAGTTACTTGCTTTTAGGTGGCTACATATATCAATTCCAAAATTAATTTATTTAAAGTCTTAGAAGACTCATTTTCTTCTTAACAAAGAGAAAGAATATAAAACAGTCATTAACATCACAACCTTTCCGCTCCAAAACCACCAGTGGACATATGAAATATATATATGTGAAGTACATCCATCAATTACCTCAGCTGTTTTTCTCCTTTATAAAATACCATATATTTTACTAAAGTAGGCACAGCAAACGAAATTGATACAATCTGCTTTCTTGACATAGCAGTAATGCCAGACAAAAAGAAAGCTTTTTAAGTAACTTCTGTATTGTTATGGTGTCTGTTTTGAAGTTTTTAAGAGTGTAATTTGAAGGACTTCTTATTTTAACTTCTTCCGCACTTAACATTACAACCGTAACATTAATCTGTTAAAAGGGGGTGGAAAAAAAAAGATAAACCTGGATAGCTGGTGCTGCTGAAAGTGCTTCAGTAAAGCAGATCATGCACATGTCGTCAGCATCTTGTTTCAGAGTTGTCGTGCTCTTCTCACAGCCGTGCAAGCACGGCAAACAGTGCTCCTCGTTCTTAACGCCTCCGCATGGATGGCCGCAGGGGTGCGTCTTGCTGCAGGCAATTTTAGCGTACTCCTATTAAAAGTAAATAATTCATCTTTTTTTCCCCCTCCACCGAATGGTGTGACACAGTGCCGCTTTTTGAAGGATTCCTGGCTCGTGCAGCAAATTAAGGCGAAAGAATCATGATTCATGTTGTCTGCTGTTACAGCAGGTACGTGGGAAAAATGGCACGTTTTGTGTACTTGAAGTAGAACGGATAACCCTCACAGAATGTTCACAGAATGTTCGGGGTTGGAAGGGACCTCTGTGGGTCATCTAGTCCAACCCCCCTGGGGTTGAATATCTCCAGCGGGTCTTGAATACCTCGAGAAGGAGACTCCACAACCTCCCTGGGCAACCTTCGTTTACTTATGTTACTCCTGAATAGCAATGGTATAGTGAAGTTGTAATTTTTAAATTTTAACTTTTAATTTTACTATAAAGAGAAATATTCTTTAATCCCCCATGTATATTTAGTATGTTAAGTGCCTCCTGCATAAAAGCTTTGCTTGCCCTGTATTAACAGCCTTTAAGATATCTGCAGATTTAGGTCCTTGAGGAAAGGTATGAAGTAACCCACTTTTAAGAACACATTATGAGCTAATCATTCACCAGCATAAAGCACTTTTACATGGAAACGGTATTTTAACCACCTCTAATTCCTATCCCTAGTAAGTAGAAAACTTATAAAAGTTGCCCAGAAGCTAAAAATGAATTGAACTGAATTAATTAACAAAAATAAAATATATTCAGTAGGCTGAGAGAGAAAAAAAAAAGAAGACAAGTTTGCCACACAGAAACAGAAATAAACAGGGTGGGCTAAGAAACTGGTTTGGATTTGGCCCTCTGCCAACTGTACCTGTCCTGTAGGGCACAAAACTGCCTCGGGACGCAAGGATGGTGCTGACAAACCTGGCAAAGCCTTAAATATTCAATGCTCGCATAATAAAAGCAGTTTGCATAACAGCCTGTTTATCAAACTGCTTTCATCAAGCTTTCCAGTACACTAGACTTCATCCTGACAGCGTGTGTTTTACTTTACACTTGGAACACTATTGTGAAAACTTGAGGTACCTTTGAAGATAACAATGAAACTACTCAGTATTTTGGTTGACTGTTGGTGTTTGTAGCCTGTAATTAAGCATTTATAGACTTGCAAATATTTGAATTACAATACAATATTCAATATTCAAACCTTTTCATATGAGAGTTCTGACTTAAAATGGTCCACAGGGATGAACAAGGTTTACTCAAAATAAGGAATCAATCTGAACCTGCAGTCTCTTCTATTTATGTAATTCACAGTGATTGGTATTCGTTAATACCTGGCAATCTGTATCAGAACAAACGCTTCCCACTGCTGATAATTCTGTTCCGCTCCTACAACCACAGAAACGACACGCTTCAGAACTGCTGGTGGTCGGTTTGCCTAGGTCCGCAAAAGTAAATAAAAATGAAAATGACAATGAAACATGAGGGACTGATACTCTAACAACAGACATCTAAACAACAATTACAGAAAACTACCAGAAAACCAGCAATTCTTAATGCAGTTAAACTATTTTGTTTTTATTAACTAACAACTGAAAGCATTACCCTAAAGCAGGTGGAAACCCCAAATCAGTTTTTTTTGGGACAAACACTCACATAAAAGGTAAAAATAATCAGGATAAAGAGCAAGTAATAATAGCTGTGTTTTACCTGTTTGTTCTCTAAACTCCACCATAGCTTTCATAGTTTTAGAATCTGCTAACGCCATCAGCCAGAAAAGTTTGGTCCTACCACAGCCCTCATGGAGATCAACTTTGATAGCTTCCTCCTCTTCTTTGAATACCTGTCAGGTCAACCAAACAGATAAAAAAATAGCGTCCCTGTGTTATTTTTGTCACCGTCTCTTTGGATTTTCATCAGCTGTTTTACAGATTCTGTGGAGTTTGTCTACTGCAAGATATTTTTCTTTGATGCATTCCATGATTTGTACGTATTGCAGAATGTTTTTAAAAGTAAAAATACATAAAATCGATGCTTGAGCTGACATGGCTGGGAAACAATAGTGCAGCAAAGCTGAGAAGAGATCTGCACAACATTTTTTCTAATTTAAAAAATACAGAGCTTGGACTTCATAACTACCGTTCAACTCATCCAGTAGGCCACAGTACAATAAAAGCGCAAGATAAAACTAGAAATAAACTACTAACAAGTTTATGTGAAGTTATCAAAACAACACTGATAATTATGGTCCTAATAATATGTACTGTACAATAACAACTAAGTAAATGTGTAATATTAATATTTTTTACTTTCACATAAAAACACAGTGGATGCTTTTGGCTACAATGAGGAAAATTTAAAATTTTTGCAAAAAATCAAAAAACTGCACGAGATCCTTAGGGGACTTTATGCAGTCTCTTCTTTTTCTTCTTTTGGAAATTTTGAAGGCAGTTCTGCTTTCATTCATTTCACCTGCAATGCAATACAAGTTAGTATTTTCCTGGCTACGGACGTACAAACTAAATTTAAACTTTGTTTTAATTTGTATTAGAGTCAGGAAAAAAAAAAACTCTAGCTGCTTCACAAAGAATTCACTTAAGCAGGTCATGGTAACTTACACGCTGTCGTTTCTTGGAGGGAGAGAAAATACATTTAGAGGTATGTACGACAGAAGCTGGACAAAGAACAGGAAGCTAACAGAAAACAGCAGACAGGGAACATGACAGAATCTAAAATTTAAATTGAGGGGCTTGACGGGAGAGATGTAAAGGTAAAGGTGGTGAATAAAGAGTAAAAATTTAAACATGCTTTCAGAAGTAAATAGGAAAATCTGATAAGTAGCTATGTTGGACAGATTAAAGGAGAGATGTGAGGACTTTTACAAGATAAGAACTTACTTTTTATCAACTGTAATCTGAACAGGCTATACGGGAGAAATCAGAAAAATAAATGAGACTAGACTGTGCTGTGCCATGACGGAAGAGTAGACATATGAAATCATCATCTTAGGATGACAAAACAGAAAAAATCCCAAGGGGGTTGCGAAGATTCTGGCCAGGAAACAGAAGATAACACATCCACGTGGAACGTCCAGGCTGAGTCTGTGCTGCGGATGCCGAGGCACCAAGGAGCTCAGCGGAGTGAAACTCAGTGCCAGCCATCTGAAGCTTACACCACGCGTGCTCTAGACTAGCTGATCCCTTGCACCAAATGACCATTAGCAGTGTCTCCCTGCGTCTATCTTTTTTTTGTTGTTTTCAGTTTCACCTGAAAGGAATCCAGCTCATGCACTCCAAGGCTGCTCTATAACACAAACCAACGCGAGGTAAAGAGATAAGGAGATCCGCTTCAAAAGTCCATTCCTGATCATAACTGAAAAGCTAATGTAGATGCACACCAGGAGAGGGAGAGGAGGAATGATTTCCATTAAATTAACTTTATTAGTGAGATTTATTATTTTAGCCTTGGTACAAACGTAAGTAGTCAGAGGGAAAGGGGAAAATAAAGGACCACAAAAAACACAATAGAAAAAGTCACTAGAAAAAGGAAATGTTCAGTAGTTTCAGAAGTAAAGGCATCTTCAACATTAATTTCAATGAGAGAAAGAAATATTCCAAGGAGAATGGAGTTTCAGGTTTAGAGATGAAAAGGGTAAGAGAGTAATGCAAAAGAGCACTAATTAGCAGATTACAAAGCAATCTGTAATAACTCATCTAGGGAAGTCAAAGAGGAAAGACGTTTCAATCCTCGAAACAAAACTAAAAGAAATCAGGAAATTTTCAAGCTTATGGATATGACAACATACTTCTCTGCCAAAAGACGGTAAAGGAGTATTGAAAATTAAGAGAAGATTGACGTAAGGGAACCAGTAGGAATATTTGCTATCAAGTGATCCTCCTGGATATTCAAAAATGCGTATACATTAAAAATGAAGGGATTGACAAGCACTGACTCATAGGACAGAAGTAGTAAAGGAGATAGAATTTAACAGGAACAAAGAACCAATAATAAAGTCTACACGGTTCCTAGATTCTCCTAAAAAACGTTCCTAAACGATGTTAGGACAAGAGACAAGCAAGCTGATGTAGCGTAAGAGTTAGAATTAGTGACTGCTACATGATTTTCCAACCTTCTTCAAAAGATAAAGGATGAGAATTTAACTAAAAACAACTAAAAAGAATTAATCGAAACTTATCTATCCCATCTGAAACATAAAAGAAAATACCGTTTTCAGGTTTGGTTCTTGCTACTGCCTTTTGCTTATATATTCATTGGGGAAATGCAGTGCATACAACACGGTGTCATGTATACTCCACCTGTCTCTGATGAGTTTTTGTTCGCCGATGGAGGTGAAGGAATCTGTCACAATCCGTACACAAATTCCCGCAGACATTACATAAAATGATTGCAGCAGTTTCACCATCATCATGGTTATCACACATTGGCTGAAAAAAATCAGAAAAAATATGAAATAATTGTGTCTCTTAAATCTCTCATTTCCTTTCAGCATCTGTTTTTGTTCTATGCCAGTCATCCTCCCCAAATTAATAAGGGGGGATAAAGAGCTTGTTTAGAATATTAATCTTTAGAATAATCAGTATCTAAACAATTACTCCTGGACACCAAAAAGCCCCAATTTAGTACATCAGTCCTTCTGATATTGTTCATCTTGTATTTTGTGTGATGTAGCAAAAATGTGTTTTTCAGCAATATAGTTGAGACATCACTTCAACTACTCTGAGAAAATACTTATGTGGTTAAACAATGGGTTAAATAAAAATAAACACAAAAAGGTATGATTTTGAGGCTCACCATCTGTTTCTGTTGTCCATCCTTTCCCATCCATCTTCCTGAGGACAGTCTATCAACATGGTCCTGATCAAGTACACAGAGGGATGCTAAGGCCAGCCACAGCTATTGAAAGGCAAGGTAGAATGAATTGTTTTAGAAATACTAAAAAACAAAACAAAACAAACCCCAAATGCTAAAAATATAAACTTTGGCAGACAACATCACTGTTAGCTGCAAACTGTATCATTGTTAACTGAAGCCTGCCCATAAAACTCCAGATTTTTATTTTCCAGAAGAAGTCTAGCACAGAATAAAATTTTTTGAACTTTTGGGGACTACCTTGTTTCTTTCAGGTATGTCACTTTATGGTCATAAGTACAGTAGTTAGCACACAAGAGAGAAACGGTGAAGAAGGATCAATCAGAGTATATTACAGAGAAGTATGGCAAAAACAGACTTGCATATCACTTCCAGACATTGCAGGCTTTGGAGGAGAAGAAGAAATTCAAGGATGCAGACTAATAAATAAAAAACCCCACAAATGCCAAACCACAGAACTTTAGCTCAATGAGATTGGTTTCCCTAAGTTTTCTCCTGGCTGCAGGGGGCATTTGCGATTACCTAGAAAGGGGTTCTGAGCTAACTGTTCTTCAGAGGAAGCCCTTCTCTCTTCCTCTCCACTGACTGCAGTGAAATCCTACAGAGATGAGCTACATGAAGGCAATTTGTTGGCAGGCCTGCAACCCAAACCAAAATGCACTCGACAGCTGCATTCTGCAATAGGTTTTGATCAAAGGTTTGATTTGAACAAAATGGCTTCAATTGAAAAACCAAACCCAAAAGATTTTGGGTCTCCCCGCAGAAATGCACACCTCCACGACGGAATTAAGTTCATTCACAAGGAGGGCCGGGCTGACGCTCAGGGCTCTGCTGAGACCTGACTGAACCACCACGGTGACAGCAGGAGCTCGTGGTACTGCGAGAGCAGTGAATATACGAGTAAGGGGACGAAAAGAACAACTGGCACAGCCTTTTAAGATGGAAAACAACACGAGTGTCAAATGCCTGTAACCATTGCAAACCTCTTCTTTTACACGTAATTATTATGCTTGAGAAGCCAAAATCTGTACTCCCTAAGATGGCAGGAATGTTGTAATTTACAAGTATACTTTTCGTGGTATTTCAAGCAATATATTAAGGTTAAGTAAGTCCAAATTTCTATAAGGGAGTGACGGAAGAAGTAAAGACAAAGGAAAAAAAAAAATCCCCTCCCACCCCAGGTAAATAATAAAGGGCTCACCAAATGATTTCTCATTTTGAGACTAAAACACAGGTGAAGCTTAGCTTAATTGTCCTAGCACAAGTTTGTTACTGAGTGTTTTCATAATAGCCTTGAGATGTGGCAGCTGATGACCTAGAAGTCAAACCACTTAAAATAATCGTGTAAAGAGCTGGAAAAAGACAGCTGATGCATACTGTGCAATTTTCCACGCAGATGATCTCATAAATTTAGTAAAAGGCAAGTATCACAAACTTAAAGCAGAATTACCTCAAGGATAGAACCCCAAATGTATAAGCATAACACTTATTCTTCATTACTTGGGAGGTACCCAAGATACCTATTTAATCAAAATTCAGTTTTTACTAGAGTATTTCTGCCACAAAGAATAAAACTCAATCCGCTGTGACACAGCGAAAGCAAGACTTTTATTAGGACAAACAGTGCCTCAGTTAGGATACCTGCCCATTATGCACAGAGCTAGATGTGGAGAATATAAACCGTATACTGTATGCATTGTTTCCTGAAACAACCTGTATAAGGAAGTTTTTTCTAAAATATAAGAAGGCTCTTGGATGGGCTCTTACTACACGTTTACAGTGAACTAATGTTAAATTTAGTAAAGTTCTTACTCTGGTTGTTGCAATGCATCTCACTGGCGATCTGTATTCTTCTTCCATTTTGGTCAGAGCTATGATGGTTTCAGCAATAGCATTCTTTGTTACACGAGACCAAGCTTCCGACAGATGACCCTGTTAAATTTATTACAGCTTTTATTAATATTAAGAATAACTAAAACTGTAATTAGAGCTGCTACAAGCAACATCAGGTTAGGATCTCAAGTCAGAACAGAAAAAGAGGAAGTCACAGATGACTTTGACAAATCAGGTGCTTTCAAATCAGACTGATCTGGTAAAAATTAGCCCTGAAATACTCAGGTGGCTGACTGAGGTAATCACTGAGCAACTAGTGGAATAACTAAATTGGGATAGGTAGAGGGCATATGGTTTGAAGAATGGAAGGGTATATTCCATTCAATATACCCTCCCAAAGTACAGGGACTTTGGGAGTCCACAGCTCCCCCCGCAGAAAGAAAGATGCAGAGCTGGAGCACAAAGAAGTGACTGTGAACAACACAGATTACAGCTGGTTCCTAGAGAAATCAGCTCCACTCGCCTAGCTTGGTCTTCCTGAGTACTAGCCACAGTTTCTATATTTGAAAGAAATAAAGAGGAGTACACAGGCAACATCAGAACATACTTTCGAAACCAGCCTTAAAGATTCTGAGCCTATGGCACTGACTCATACCCTAAAGTTCCCAATTCAGAGACTGCTAAATCCTTAAATTCTTAACGTAATCTCTAAATTTCTAAACCTCATGCTAAAGGTAACAGAGATAATTGAGTCTCCCTGGACTCTAAAAAGGAAGCTACAGTGACTAACTCCAATGTAGGTACCTACACATTGCAAATGTTGAGAAAGTTACGGGAAACAAATCACACTTGTAACTCTTGCGAAGTGGCCAGTAAGACTGATGCCACTCCAAAGCTGAGCATACTGAAACAGCTTTCAGAAGGCAATCACAGAGGAAAATCTGGGTCATTTAGAGCATCTCACTGAAACAGGTACAGAACTAAGGAAAACAAAAACAACCTCCCAGCTCAACCCCTTTCCCCTAAACGTATACAAAACCTATTTTTTTGTCCAATATTGTTTCTGGGAAATAGCTGAATGACTTTTCATCAAATTCGTCTGCCAAAAAAACTTGCCTGAAGCAGATACAGCTATGGAAAATTTCAGCCCAGATGGTTAAAGTAATAAACAACTATAAATGTAGATTTTGCTAAGACTGAAAGAAATCAATCTTAACATGCAGTCTTAACCAGAAACTCCACATATAAAATCCACATACGGTTAGTGAAAGCAACATTATTATCTTACTCCACAGACACTTTTTACCTTTCAGTTTGAGTTCTGAGTGCTCACGACTTAAAGAATTAGGCTTCTAAGTTAATAATGTAGAAAATGACAATTACTGTTTACTTCTTAAATTTCTGGTACAAGTGACTTATTTAAAAGCTTTTTTCAAAATTGGATTTCTGTTTAGCAGAATCATAACTTGGTTTCTGCTGCTCCTAGGCCTAGACTCTACCCAGAAGACTATACCTTTTTCATCTTGAGACCAACTCACATTTAACAGCTCAATGCAAAACTAGCTATAATAGGAAGTAATGAAAAAATGTACTATTCATTATCAGAATCATCTGAATATCCTCCACACATTTAAAGGATAGAAACTTACTGCTGCCATGTCTTTAATGAGTTTAATAATGATCTCTGAAATCTGTGTAGGTGTTGAGCCCTTCATCCACCAATGGCTTTCACCTCGCCGAATATAGCTGCAACAGACACATGGTGACACATGAAATAAATTCAAGTAATTAGTTACTATTTGTCAAAATCCACCACAAAGAAATAGTGCACATATTGGGCATACAGTACGTTGTGGGGTTTTCTTCTTCTTTTTTTTTTTTTTTTTTTACAAAGGTAAAAATCAAGCTCACTAATAACATGACTCATACTGTCAAAGCATTATACAATTTTTTCCATTTATAAAACAAAAATTATAAAAGACAACATAACTGACTTCAAAGAATGTAATTATTTCGTACCTTTAGCTGAAAATACATACATATTTTTAAACAAACCTGGAATTGAAGATCATTGGAAGCGTGACTGTAGTAACTCCTTTGCCTGCAGTAGTGCCAGCTGTCCCTGTTATAGTAGTTCCTTTGGCTTTCAGCTGTACAGTGAGAGCTTTGGCAATGCATCCCAAAAACATGTCCAGGATACCTAGTTTATTCCAATCTCCTTTTTCTGTTGAGTGAATGATATCACTTATATCTGCTGGTGGAAGAGACTTCACTCCTGTAATACTAGCCAGGCGACTAGGGGTTACCTCAGGCAAAACACGTCTCAGTAATGATGTTACCTGGAAAACAGAAAATCACAACACCACAATTCTTACCAAGACAGCTGGAGTTTTCAAGCAAAATCAAATAAAGTCTTTTTTCTTCCTCACAAGTTATTTCAGCAAGAAGGATTGAATCACTTTCTGTACTTAAATCACACTTACGAGAAGTTCTGTAAGGTTTCTACCTTGCTTTGAAACATTTATTAATATACTCAGTGAGACAAGGCTGAAGAGTCCAGAACCAATCTCACTCAAACAATACTTAATCTTCATATAATAATAAAAATATGCTTGGTACCAGACTTACGATAACAGCAATACAGATGTTTGTACAACTCTGATTTGCTTGCATGTTACAGACACATTACCCACTTTGCATATAATCTTTAGATGTCATAAACTCTCTGGTAGAACAGTTAGAGACACTTCAGACTTCTGAAAAGAAAGTACTTACCTTGAGATACTGAAAATCATGATGCTCCTCCATGTTACTCTTCCCCCCTCCTTCAGTTTTCCTTGCGATACTCTAACTGGAATTTTTTGAAATGGAAATCTGTGCCAATTACTCTGGATCTAACAGGAGCTGTCTTGAAATCATATGCTTCAACCTCACCAGCTGGTGAAAATGGGGTTGAAATTGGGTATGTCATGCAAAGTTTGGTCTAAATCAGGATGTATGAAAGCTTAAGGAGTTAATATTTCACATCTAATTTCTCAAGCCTTCAATGATCTCTTGTAAAACTGAGAATTACTAAGCAGGGTACTATCTGCCTCCAGGCAAGTTGAGATGTGACATTGCAACAGTTCAGAAAATTGGAAAAAGAAAAGTAGAGAGTACAAGACATAAAAACTTCTGAAACAGGAACTAAAAATCCACCTAGAGAAGGCACACCAGCTAGCAACAACAAGCTAGTGCATTAGCTGTACTAAAGCACGTATTTTATACATCTATATATTTACATTGTATTATGTGCATATAAATACATGTGTACTCAGACAGACAACGTTCAAGTTGAGAAAGAAACACACATTAAAGCTCTACCTGAGGATACCAAGAGTAGAAAAGAATTGTCTAGTTCCACACTACTACACTCATAGCCTGAGTGTAAGAAAGACGCTGAGGACTCACGCCAGATCAGTAACAGACACTGACAATTTAAAACCTCTGATCTTACCAATACAGGCCATACGGGCATTACATATGCACAATGTGGAATATCCAGACAACACCGGCTTTTTAGGTCCCGTCCACTCGATAGAGATTTAACCATGTTCTACTCTTTCAAGGTCTAATCTCACCCAGTGAAGCCTCTGCTTCATCTGTTACGACGTTTTAGCGAGACAGTCATTAGTTATTCCGTAATTCCAGTTGTCACTGGGCCTCGAGGTCAAACACAATATTAAGAGGGCAAGAATTAACGATGGCTGCCTCAAATCATGCAGGTATTTACCAACATCTGGAGCATACGCAGCATATACATACAACTGGAGGTAACTGTGTAGTGCTCTCAGACCCTTTCCCCATGAAGTGGCATGAGATCTTACTATAAAATAAGCAGTCACCTCACTAGCTTCCTTCCACACTTGAAAATGTCACTGTTTTTTATATAGAATTCTTATTTGCAATAAATAAATAAAACAGTTTTTAAACTTCATACATTTGAGAAATGGGAAATTAACAGCTCTGGTATTTAAAATGAGCACCTCCGGTTCTTGCAATTATATGTAATAATTCTGGACGATGCTGTGCTTCATAAATACAGTAGACAAATGCAACACATGAACTTTAAGAAGTTGCTTTTTTGGAATGTAACACATAACACTGGTCTAAATTTAAGTATTGCCAGTCACAAGGCAGTGCCAACTTCAAAATCTGAACTTTCATCTTAGAAAAAAGAATTCTTAGTCATTGCAACAGAAAGGAAAGACCTTACAAACTGAACATACGTAACAGGACATGGACAAATCTGTTGAAAACATCAGCAAGTGGGTTACTGTGAAGTAAGATTCACTGAATACTGTGAAGTTCAGATTCACTAAAGATTCATTCACAACATCACTCCAAAACAAAGGCCGTATGTGGACACACAAAATGACTAATTGCTCTTGTGCATCCTGTTTCATTTCAGCAACAACCTGCCAAGCACACGGTATGTCCCTTTGATGTATGGTTTGAGAAAGCAGTTTATCCTGCCCTATCCAAAATCCTGCAGAATATGGAAAAGAAAGGTGAACAGTGCTATTACTCAAAGCGTTTCAGAATAGTTTGCTGATTTAGGTTCACGACGACATAAGTGTTAATTAAGCAATTTTGGGTTCCTACATCTCAGTTCTACCTCTTGGAGACAAAGCATTAAAAACTTACTCAAAAGTGAGTTTATTTTAAATTCATAACTGTAGCCTTCATTGCCTTCAACACTGTTTGTACTTCCTGCAAACAGTTCTATACAGTCAAATTGTGGTGGTGCTGGGGTATATATGCATTTATACATCAAACACACTAAACTTCGCCCAAACCAAACAACTGACACTTAAATTCCAAAAGGAGATTCTGTAATTCGGTTTTAGATGTTCATAAATTTCTGTTTGCCCTCTCCTCATGACTGCAGTAACAAAATGTGGTGCTTTATTTACAGTTATTCCCTATGTAGAACACAGGGATGATCCGAGTATGATTGCCAAAACATTTTTGAAGTGAAAACACAAAATTACGTTTCACAAAAAAAGAAAAGTTCAAATACATCATCAAATACTATCACATGCACAATTACAGGCTTCTAAAGACTTTTTAATAGGAATACCAAGATAGACAAGAAACAGTTAGCAATCACCTGTCTCTGCACCCTGGGAGAAGCAGTGTGTAGTAATGAGAAGAGATCCTGGAGCAGAGTCAGCTGCTGGGCCAGATATTGCCGGCCCACGTTGGAACCGCTCAGTGCCAGAACCATTGACAGCAGCTCAAAGCAGTAAGCGTCAGAAGAAGCATCTTCATCGTTGGGCTGCGAGTTGGCATTCTCTTTGCTAGAGATGGCATGCTCCCATTCTTCACGCACACGGGTTGCTTCCATTCGTATGGCCTGGACTATATGAGCACACACCTATCCAAATAGAATCCAAAGACAGAGTAACTCTTAAAAACTTTCGGAAAGTGAAAGAGATTGTGTTTTATGTACCTCCACAACTATGACTCAAATGGAAAGTCGGTGAAATTTGGCCTGAGCTTAAATTACTTTGCAAAATAAATTCAAATGAAGGATAAAATTTAGATTTTAAATTTAGAGTAAAGATTAGATAAAATTCTTTAGAATTAAGATTTAGATTTAATATTGATTTTGCTCAACTCTGTTCTGGAAAATTTCATTGAAATAAATCTTTTTTTATTGCAGTTCCTGCCTTTTTGTTTTTTTACGTAGAATTCAGGTTTAAAAAAAAAAAAAAATCCACACAAAACCACCCAAAGAAATACATTTACTCAACATCCATATAAGAAAAGGCCTTATTAGAAGACTTAAGTCTCTTGCTTAATTTACTGTTCAGGAAGCTTAAAAAAAAATTTAGAAACCATGCTTTCATTTTACCTATAGCATATTAAAAACCACATTTAAGAGATTTTAAAGTTTGCTAAGATGGGTGACAAAAAAGTAAGTTCTGCATGATTTACTAATCTAACAAATTTCAGAATGAATCTAATACCTCTTGTATTACTGTGAAAATCTGTACAGCAATGTTTGTCTCGTGACAGGTGATGGTGAAGACAAAAGATGCTTTTGTTTGTATATTAGAAAATTTAAGTATTCAAAAAAAGGAGAAAACATACTCTAACTACTGCTTTATGTTAAGAAAAACAAAGACAAGTAACAAAACCACAAACCTAAACTTTCATTAACTGCAGGAAAGAATTATTTAAGAATCTGTGCACTGGTTATCTTTTTAGGATTAAATTTGATCAAACCTAAATACTTTTTTGATGACAGAAATGGGGAGAAAACATGCAAAATTAAGAATCTAAACCGTCAATGAATCTCTCCTAGAAATTTGAGAGGGTCTACTATTATGCTATTATCAGCAAACACGAATTAGTACCATTTACAACTCAGTTCTAAAACTTTTCTTTTTAAATTGAGACTACTAGGATACAGTTTTTTATGCTATTAAAATTGATTTTTTTCAGTGTCAATTTCAGCAGATTTTTTTATATAAAACACACACACACACTATTTAAAATGTAAACCAAAATTTGATTATAAAGAACAACAGAATAACACTTGTAAAGTGAAAGGTGCTACATTCACTGAAAATGAACGTATTTAGTACAACACACTAACATTGAATCCTCTCAGCATTTCAGAATGAACAAACCTGCTTCTGCAAATTTGTCAGTTTGCTCCGGCTGAATATGATCCCTACCATGTGCTCCTTCAGGTCTGCATCTGATGTTGCCTTCATAAAAAGCATATTTAATATTAGATCAAGTATTTCAAGAACATTTCCTAATTACTGTAGCAACTAACCTGGAATATCATCAAACTTTGCTCTAAAAGTTTGTAGCTTTTTATTACACAGAAATAAGACATATCAGCAAGATCAATTTAACTATGGTTAATAAATACCTTTTAGATGTATTTACTTTCTTTTTGTAAGAGGAGACTTGAGCATGCAATAAAATAAAATAATCAATAAGCAAAACAAGTGAAATCTAATTATCTGAGATTCAGCCTCTTCATGTAGCTTAATACAGTCACTGATTAAGTCTTTGCAAAGCAGTGCATGGAATATACTTTCCAGTTTATGTATTTCACAATAAAAGAAACGGGGAACCCACAATTAAGTCACCACACAACAGGCGTAAGAAAGGTACACTTTTACAGAATGAATCATTCAGTCATGGAACTTACTGCCACAAGGTACTGGGTAGAGCAAAACCATATATAATCCAAAAACTATCTTTATCGAGGACAGTCCAATTTTGGCTATTAAACATGACAGTCCAGATACAGTGACCTTTTCAGGAACACTTCTTAAACTAATCCTGGCTGAGAAGACAGGAGAATATACCAGGCAAAAAGATACTAGTGCAGTTTCTCACTACTACTTCTCTAAGCATCAACAGAGCCCCTCTTACGGCACAAGATAACAGGCAAGAAGGACTTTCAGGTTGACCATTACTGCAGGTGTTAAGTAATTCTGTAATTAATTGCAGGCATAATTCGTGCCATCATTGCTACGATGTTTCCATTAAACGCATATGTTCCAAGTATAGTTTACTAATAAAAAAAAATTAACGATAATTTTTAAAAAATAAGCAGTCGTGACATTTCTCTTCTGTTTTGATCTGAAAACGATGTAGCTTAAGACATAGGACAAATACTGAAAATCATCCTGGATCATTTTTTCAGCAAAGTATTATTGATAGAATACAAATAAATACATTGTGTACTTTTTCTTCTCCTTCTGGGGAAGACAACAGCGCTTTTTCTTCTTGTTCTGGGGTTGGCTCAGCATCTCCGGAGATGAGTTTTCCAAACACCTTGAAGAAAGACAGTGACGATCAGCTTATCTCAAAGACAAACTTGTGCAGATGTGACATTTCACATTGAAACATCAAGCACTGAAATTCTACAATTTGTAGTAACTTTCATCATATAACACATCATTAAAATCCCACCTGGGATGTAATAAGTCTGAATACTCGCAGTGTCTCAGATTCACAGTTTCTTTGTTGAGCTACACTTGCAGAAATCTGGCCTGCTATTTTAATGCTTTCACCATCTTTCCATCCAAGAATTTTCACTTGTCGAACTCTTAGTGTGTTCTCCGGACCCTTCAATTCAATTTTGATGATGTGATTGTCACCCCCAGGAAGTTCACTCGTAACCCAGCCAATATGTCTTGAATCCAAGTCTACCTATTAAACAGGAATATAAAGATGGGAACTGACATTACATCAAACAAAAAGTCACCTACCTCCAAAACAAACCCATGTTGTATCACTGGAACCAACAGAGTGTTTGCTACGAAATCTTCATCCTGAGCAGTAAGACTATCATGTTTAATTATAAAAGTATTCAATCTCATGAATTCAGATAAAAAAATTCTCAAACTTAAAACAAATGACATGTAGCCATTTATTTTTTGTCTTTAAAGCCTATTAAAAATAGTGGCTTATCTATCCCTTTCATCCTTAAGCAACAGTTCATATATTAAAAAAAACACTTTGAACTAACATTTGCTCACTAGTTTTGATAAGACAAAAAGCCGCCATAATTTAACTGTAAATATAACACACAATTTTCAGTAGTTAAGTTATTCCATCCCTGTTCACATAAACCCCTGCCAAAGAAATTGTAACTCTGTGGAAGTCAATGTCTGATTATGCTTCTATCCTTATCAAGGGATGCAGGACTTAATAATTGTAAAAAAGACAGATGAACTGTATCAAATTAATCTTATTTTAAAATACATATGATTTAAAAAAAGAGAACGTAAATTATGTTATAGGATTTAAACTGTCATGTCACTACTGGAAGCCAAAAAACGATAGGGTGCAGTGCCCCACATCGCTGCTCAGAGCAACCCGGGTGGGACCAAGTGACACCTGGCCCTGAGCCAAGTGAGCCCTCTCTCGTATCCATGGGCTCATTTATAATCAAGCTAAAATTTGTTCTTCCCATTTCTGTGCTAATTCTCAGTGTCTGAGCAGCAGACAAGATGGATTTTTTTTTCCTTTTTTAAAAAAAAAACCCATGAGACAGGGTATGCAGGAGTTAGTGTATGGTATGTGGGTGTGTTTGAAGATTAAAAAAAAAACAAACACCTATTGGAGAAGCCTCAGAGGACTGTGAAGCAAAGCTGAATCAAGTCTTGCCTGTCATCTGGGAGTGAACCATCCCTGGAAAAATGCCTGCGCACTGTGTTTGAGCAGACAGAAACACGGCCAGTGAGCAAGCTAACAAGCTGTATCCACAATCATGAGATTTTGTATCTACATATATAGACTTACAGAAAAATACATACAAACTTTATACCTGTCTACGTATATACACACATTCACACTTCACTGTTTAGTACGAGCCCACTGCACCAAAGTCTTGTTTCTTCAGATCTGCAACGTCTTTTGGAGCTGTGTCTTTGCCTTAAAAGCTCTCTGAGTATATGAGGTAGAGAAAAGCAAACCATCCCTCTGTAGTAAGACAGTGCTGCTTCTTGCAGGACTTTACCACTGACTGTCAATAATCCAAATAAAAAAGTTTTGAACCCAGAATGGTAACTGCCTGCTTCAAACCTTAAATATCTTTGATTGGTCACAGAAGTGTCAAAATACAAAACACTGTTCTCTGTGTAAAAATCATGCATCTATCATTTGGCTTAGCAACAGAAGTACAAAGACTGAATACCCTGCTCAACTTGAGTCTCTGGACAGAAGTCTTCAGCTACCCAAAGCTGAGAACTTAAAATGGCAGGGTGAGGTGTGTGCTATAAACATGTGCTAGACCATGTAACTAGAACAACTCGTGCTGAGGGCAAATGATTTGGTTTCTCCTTTCTCATGGTGTCCTTCTACTGCTAACTCTTAAACTGCATTTCGCTGATGAAAAATGATTCCATGAAGCAGATAAAAGGCAGTGACAGTGCAACACTAAGAAGGTAGGCATCAGAGTATCTAACAATGTGCAATATTACTTAATGCAATTATTTCAGGTATATTCAGACATAAGTATCCTAAAAGAAATTGAATGGCTTGCTGGACCTTACAAAATGCAACCTACACAGTCTTTTTGGGAACTTTCTACATGATCACTTATACTTTCAGCTGTAGTAATTAACAAAAAAAATATCTAAGAAACATTTTGTATTACCCTGTTCTGTTTCAGTAAAAGAGTACAAGTTTGATCAACACTCAGCATATACGAATGAATTCTGTCATTAATAATACAGTATTTTCCAAGAATACGATGCCTGATATTTGTAAAATAATTTATCTACCATAAGAAATGAAAACTATTTGCCTAAAAAATTTCTGCTATATGCAGCCAAAAAATGACAGCAATTTTTCAATGTTAACTGTAAAAATGTTTACCTGCTTTATTCTGCAGAGATCTTCTACTGCCTTGCCCGTTAGGAAGGTCATTGAAGTCACTTTGTTCTGCAACAGACAAGCAAAACAAGAACAAAACACTTCAACTGAGGACCCTCCTGACTATTTCTTCTGTATTAAGAGTGTACGTACATAAAAGACAGACAAGTTGTTTCATTACGAAAAGAATTCAAAAGTGATCAAAACCAAGGGCAAAGAATTCCAAAGCACAGCTCTCAAACAAGAAAAAAAACGTTCTTTGTATTAAAAGCTGTAGAATCATTTCATTAGAATCATTAAGGTTGGAAAAGACCTCTAAGATCATCAAGTCTAAAATAGTAGTTGAAATAAAGATACATTTGTAGTATTGCTGTATAGATTAATAAACATGAATGTAGTAAGTCTAGAAAATCATTTGGATTTTATGAAAACAACTTCTTCAAATGTTTCTACAGAAATTGTGAGCAGGAAAAGTAACTTCTGAAATAATTAAATGCTTGAAAATGCATCGAAATGGAACATGCCACAGAGAATTAAGTTTCCCAGTCTTAGGTTGGAGCAAACTGCAAATTTAGTTGGATAGATCTGATCGTCTCAGGTACTGCTTTCAAAACCACAGGAATCAGAAACTTTACTTTGAAATGTGAGCTTCTGAATTAGAATTACAAACTGAACTGGACAAAGAAAATGTTGGTTTCTGACTGATAAATACATACAGCTTTGACTATGCACCTTCAGTAAGACACATTTCATCTCATTGTCCTCTTACCCCAAGATCTCTGGAATTATCTACATGAACACACACATAACGTGCATTGATTCCTTTTACACAGTTAATTGTGATGTTTTTAGTTTTATTTTTATCTTCATCTCCTGACTCCCAGAATGTTTCTGTAGATCCATCTGTTAAGCTACCAATCATGGCAGGTCGGCTTGATGTTTTAATGTCAACAATGCTGGTCAGGTCTTTTAGACAAACCACTATGCACAGTTCCTGTGAAAACAAATGAGACCATTTAAAATATCTGAAACAAAGTTCAAACACAGGGATTATTTAAAAATTTTAAAATCATACAGACATATCTGTTCTGAGGAATATGGTCCCTGAACTAAAGACGACATTTTTCATTTATTGGTTCAAATTATTCAGTTCTTTAAACCAAAGGAAATATTAATGGCTAACAGCAGAATACATTAGTAAATGCCCGAATGTATTAATAAATGGAAGAAAACATAAACACTTTAGAGATATTCATTAGGTGTACTAATTTGTCCTCTTCAGAATAACAGAAGAAAAAAAAGATATAAGCAAGCAAGAACTGGAAGCACGTAGCATTTAAAGAATGAACTAACACTCAACGAACCAAATGAATTAACTAAATGAACTATAAGAGATCCCTAAACACTTTACTTGCAAACAAGCATTTGCAAACATAGCTGCAAAAATTAGGTTTGAATGATCTACTGGCTAAGGGACAATATTTGAAAATGTAAAAGCTAAATATGAGAACCTGAATACCAGCAACAAGATCCCAAACTGAGACATATTCAAGAAAATACGACATTGTGATAAAAGATGTTTTAACTCAAATAGAGTGATTAGGCTGTTCACAATTGATCTCTGCTTCTGAGAGAGAGGTGTAATACTTGCCTGATTCATGACTTCAAAACCAGACTGAATACTGATACTAAAACTCTCTTCACTATCTCCATCATCAGATTTAGACAAAATATTGTTGATATGATGAAAAACATTGCTTTGGTGCAGGAACTGGTGATCAGATTGTTTGAATTTGAGACTCCAGCACCTGAAAACACATTTAGTGGATTTTGAAATTGTGAATATTGTTTAACACACATAACCTACCAGTGAAAATATTACATTTGTGTTTTCAAAATATTTTCTGTAATGTTTTCCTTTAACTTCAAATTTTCGCAGGATCTTAAGTTTTAGTATGCACCATTTTGAGGAAGGCAGGAGTAAACTTTTCTTAGAATCTTAACAGTTAATAGAATCATTATTATTCAATTTGCATCTTTGAGACAGAGAAACTGTTTGAATTTTTTCCTGTGTGAGAAGACTATCCAGATGACAGATGTCTGAGAAAAAGGTATTAGACTATCATGCACATACACACAGATACTACCATATTATTCAACAGTATGTATTTTTTTGAATAGAATAAACAGTACCCAACTTAGGAGCAAACACGTTTTTCTCTACGAAGGCCTTTATATTAGTATTTGTATATATAAACACAAACATACATCTTTTACATATACCTTTCCTATGAGTAAGGATAGACATGCTCCTTTTCACACAGGCATATAAAGTTGTTCCAAACTTCCTACCTACATTGCAAAATAATTTCATCCACAATGTTACATTTCCAGCCTTTTAAGAACTGTCTTAATTTGTGCTTACCTTAAGGCCATTTGCTGTAATGCACTTCCACTGGGAAGGGACATCATAAGATCAGAGATTGTCTGGAGGAGGCGATGAAAAGTGTGGGGTAATGGGTGAGCTGCTTCGCCAGCAATCACTATATCTGACAGAGGATGTTCACATACTCTTGTGTCTTTCTCCTAAGATGCAAAGCAATTTGTATGTTATTAATAGACTTACAGACAAAAAAGATTACACAAATGGAAATAAAAACATTTATGATACTTGGTTTAAGAGTAACTGCAACAATCCTACCATGAATGTGAACTTCAAAGCGGTTCCTGTCAAAGAATTTGTATAATAACAAGTTATACATGAACACAAAAAAAAAAAGAATTTGGGAAGTACACTGTATACCACCACATATTTCTCATGACTTAAAAGATGTGAAACATTACATTGTAATAATCTGAAAACAAATGAAGAAAACAACAAATAATAAAAAAATAACATATTCCATCTTGAGCAGCAAAACCAGCCATAACAAACTTGCTAATTAAGCTAAGATTATCAGCTGCTTTATTTCATTAGACTTGTGAAAATCGCGTTTCTTAGTTAAGGTATGTCAGTATCAGAACGGCTGCGCATTGGGAGCCATGTTCCAGTGGGCAGAGGACCAAAGAGGGTGGGGGCCAGTGAGGTGTGTTATGGGGAGGGGCAGCAGAGAAAGAGAAGGAGGTTCTGATCACGGTATCCTATTTCAGCAGACAGGGAAAGACTCATCTATGAAGGATACAAACTGTTTCCTCTGCTTCTTTTTTAAAAGAAAATCTGATCCTGCATGAACCACAGAACCCAGCTGCATGTCCCTAACATACTGACAGCCAAAGCCAGATTCAAACTCATTACTTTAAACCCATTAAATTGTCTATGTACGTTCTTGCAAGTAGATTTCCAAGGATCTCTACTGCTTGCATGCCTAGAAAAGCTGTGGTGTTATTTAAAATGCATTTTAGGCACATGTTTACCTAGACAAGAATCATCAAACCAGATATTTATCTGTACTTTCCTGGAGGGTGTAATGTGGTAAAGTATACTCAGTATATGAAGTGGGAAGCATGAGATTGAACTCTACAGTAAATATAATCAATTATTCAGAAAAAAAGTTCACAGCTTAGGTAGTCCCCTTCCCCACAAGGATCTTACCTACACAGACAGCATCCTGCTCCCCGCTGTCTCCTCTGCAGCTTAGCAATTCTTGCATTTTGTTTTGCTTTAGCAAGGTCATTGCCCTTGAACCTACATCTTCTTCATTAAATCATTTATGGTTCTAGATTCCCATCCCCCATTTTTACAGAATTCATCACTAGGATTTCTCACCTTCCCCCAGTATAGTAAAAGAATATGTAAAAAAATTCCACAGAAGCAAACGAATCCCAGTTGTGGAAAAGCACCAAACTGCCTTGGATTTATTACATTGTGTACATATATTTACATGGGTATTTTTATCATGTGATCAGACTACTGAAGGAAGATGTTGTGATTTGAATATACATCACCGGAATGATATTTAACAATCAGCAGAAAGCTATTGCCAGCATCTCGTGTGCCATAAAACTATTCATCCTAGCCAAGTGACCAAGGGGAATTTTTTAAGTCCCCTCCTTCATAAGGTCAAAAGAGAAACAGCATTCCTACCAGAAGTGGCGTATTTTAACATTCCTTTTTAACATCCTTTACCTTTCAGTCAATAATTACCACTCATTTCGAAGTTGGATTAGTTTTGGTTTTGTTTTGGTTGGTTGGTTTTGAGGTTCTTTTGTTTGTCTTTGTGGGTGTCTTTTTTTTTTAAAACATAATAAAAATATTTCTAAATTGACTACAAAATCAGCAGAGATACTGTGTTTATGAAAGGAATGCTGAACCTCACTTACTTGTTCTGCATTTTCTTTATTTGATTTATTTTCTTCATCCTCCTCTTCTTCAGGCTCTACAGGGGCAGGAGTCAGGGAAGCCACAAAATGCCATAAAATATCATGAAGAGAAGTTGTTTGAATGACATTACAAAGAAGCCAGTTGAAAGCCTAAAACAAAATACACACAAAGACTTATCAATTGGTTAGGCAAACCTGGAGTAAAACCATTTCTTAAACCATTTATTTTAGGAGGTGCACTGATGCTTTTGGACAGGCAAATAACAAGGCAGAAGTCTTCACGACAGACACATTTCTCTGTAGCTAAAAACAGTTTATTACAATGACATCTATATTACAGGGGACACAGCGAAGTAATTCACAAATACCATACACAAAACAAAGTTCTTTGAAAAAAGCTTTAAGGATGAAAAAGCGAAGTTCTTGTGTATTTTCAGAGATTATTACAGGACGAGGTGGCAGCACTCCTTACTATTCAGATTGGTTAACAAAGTAAAGATCCTTCTTAATTTAGAGCTCTGTAGCCTGAGATTTGGCTTCCTTGTTTGGTCTCTGCCATCGACTGAACTAATCAAAACAATTCAGCCACTTAAAAAAAAAAATCAACATAGTAGTGGGAAAAAAGGTTTTAAAAAATTGTAACATTCTTATATTCTTCTAAAAGCTGCAAGACTTCTGTGTGTTCACGTTTGGAAATATGACGGGTGGTGCTTAACAGTAGAGGTGTGTTTTTTACTTTATCTGAGAAAATCCACCTATATTTTCACACGCTACAAATAACTGAGAAACACCCATTCTCTATACAAGCTCAGAAGAAACTTCACTAAAGCTTATCTGAAATTTAAAAAATAGGCCTCACTGAGGATGCCTCTTACAGCTTTTATTGAAGCTACTGATATTTAATAGATCTTTTGGTCACTCATTCACTATCTACATAACAGGGGTAGCATTCACCCATCTCAGAAGGAAGTTGTGAAATATCTAGACATTACCAGCACCAGAACAGCTCTAAAGAAAGAATACTCAGTCCAAGCTTTGACTAAGGAATGGAAAGTAAGACCAGGAAGAGGCAGAGCAAATGAGGAGAAACCAGTATTTGTATAACTGATTTTTACAGCCTTAATAGAGATTTTCTATATACAACAGATATACTGTTGAAGGTTTACAGGTAATACTTTTGTATTCATAGCTTTTAGAATTAATAATACACGTAAGTGAACTTTCAGAATAGGTTTACCGCGCATCACAAAATTTCTGTTTTGTTTTTTAATCTATAGAAAAATTCTTTAAAAAATCTGAGACAAAATTTACAAATATCTTATTTTAATCATACAAGACCCATTAGGATATTAATACCTCCATGGCAAAGACTCGGCAAGCAGATTTCCGTAAGGCTTGTTTCATTGCTATTTCAAGTCCTTCCAGATCATGATGCTGGATTACAAATGCCAATACTGGCCACTGGAAATTTCTCTCTCCTTTGGAAAGAGAGCTGTGGGCGGAGATTAACCGAGAAAGTTCAGGAGATGGATGTCTCAGGAGAGAGGACCCCACTTCTATTCAAAAGTATAAAAATATGCATACATTAGATTCTTCGTGCATTTTAATTTTACAGCCACAGTAAAAGCAAAAAGCAGTAGAGCAATTTTAGAGTTGACATTTTTGTTCATTTTTAATATAAGAAAATGTGTTAAAAAAAGCAAAGTGGAAAAACGATGCTTCCACTGAGAAAGAAATTACCACTTTAACTTTTAAATCAAGCACAAAAGGTGCACCACAAATTTCAGAACTGCAGTAATTCCCGAGCCATTCTTAGGCTAATTCTGTGCAGATTACGAAACAGCTAATATATATTCATACAAAAAAAAGGCATTACATGTATTTATAAAAAAATTATACTTGTGTACAGTTTCCAAGATGTACTGCAAATTCAATGCCATATCCTCGAATATTTTTTCACTGCTGCTGATGTCTGTGCTCTTACCCGCATCTCCACTGTTGACTCGTCTCCTAGGGATCGCCTTTACACGTGCTGGCAAAATCGAGTGCTGTTTATCATATTCTGATGCAACAACCGAATATGATCTTTGAAAGACTGTACGCTTCGCAAGATCTGTATCTGTTATTGGACTGGTTTCCAAGCTACAGAGAAATCAGTGAAGTTATAGACCCATTAACAAATATAGAGAGTATACTTGAATTATACATAAATATTAAAGACACATTCATTTCATAATGACAATGCTACTACTGCGTGAGAGTTTGTCTTATGTACCTAATAACTGTTTAAATGCTGGAAAAGAAGGAACACTTATTAGAAATACACATGGTGAAAAAGCATGCAAGTGCTTTATAAAGATATGTAATGACGTACATGGTAAGTTCCAAGAATTCAGGAATTTTTTAGAGAGAATACAAACATTCAGATCATGCCCGAATTGAAGTTTCAGACCAAATTTGCCCTGAGAATGCACGTGAAAACATCTAAGAAGTGAATTTTTAATATGCAAGCCAACTGAAATTTAGAACTTTAGGTGAAACAAAAGTTTCTAACATCATTAGCCTTAAAGCCAATTTTCAATTGCTACAGCTGCGCCTCTGACATGTTTTACTCCTTACCTTCAGTGGACTTGTTACAGTCTGCAGAAGAACTCCCAGCTTATGCTGTCCCTATAGGCCTCAGGAGACCATGGTGTCCACAGTTTAAATAAAGAAATAAGCAATGTTTTCCTTTTTATTTTTTTAATTGGTGGTATGCTAATGCTTTAGCGTTTGTATGTAGTACCTAGAATTACAAGGAATTACCTTGGGGGCATAGATTTCATGTTACTCTCTGGCTCTTCAAAGACGTTAGGGCTTGCATCAGGAGTAACTGAGATGTACGGTGCAGGTACTGAAGTTGAGCGCAGGTACCTCATCTCATCCTGGAAAAGGTTGTCATCCTGGTAGCCAGCAAAATTTTCATGATGATGCCTACATCAAATTAGATTTTCAAATTAAAATTAAGGATTACCAGTTCTTGAAACACACACATACACAAAAGTCCTTTGCCAATACATTCAGCCAGCCAACGCTATTAATTTACTCCTCATCTAATGCATTTAAGCTGGTTGTGACTTACAGATGTTAGTAGAAAACATAACGGCATTTTCAACTAACAGGGAGTGGGGTTCATTCTTTGCTATCTGTTAGTATTTTCATTAGATATTTCCATTATGTATTTTAGACCCAAATGTCTATCCATCATAAACATGAGACACTACAGTGAAATCTACTTTGAAATACCAAGTAAGCACAAGTCTTCTGGTTTCCTTTCTAAGATTTTTAACTGTGAAAAGAGAAAAGTAGCACATAGGTCTGCTACTAACACACCAAGATAAACTAAAATTAAGGAGATTCTTTAGGAAATTCTAAATTCTTTCGACGGAAACTAAACTGTTTTTAAAAAATATTTAGCATCCAAAAGCTAATGCGTGTGTATTTGACCCTTGGAGCAAATTCAGTCTAGGAAACTGAACTAGAGCAAGGAAACAGAAGAGAAAGAAAAACAAAGACCATAAAGAATTAGGAAAGTATGTATTTTTCTATGTAAGTTTTAGTTTAGTTTGCATACACATTTTTATCCAACACTATAAACAGATGAGTATTAAAATCAATATTTGTAAATTTCCTTTAATTACCTTGCTAAAGTCTGTAGATAGAGACATGGCATTTTAATAGGAAAGTCTTCAGAAATTCCTTCTTTGACACTGGGAAGTTGGGACTGGAATGCTTTTGCAGGGTGATAGCAGAGGATACTGGGCTCAGCAGCACTACTCAGCGACAGTAAATACAGTGCATTGGCTTTAATCACTTGATGAGCCTCCATAGTTGGCAAGGCACGAGGAGTCTTAACTTGCATTGGTTTTCTCCTAGATTGTTTAATCTAGAGAAATTTTAAAAAGTGTATTGAAATTATACTTCATCACAGAACAAGCTGACAATGTCACTTATACTAAAGTCACTTCATTCTTCCTGTTATAAAATGATGTTTTCTATTACAAAATGGCACTTCTATTATTTTCTTAACTTTGCAAATTTTTAATAAACAGCTCAAAGTTTTCATGCTTGCCTCAGGATTAATTTTCTGTGGAAAAAGTTTCAACAAATTTAGTTTCAAAAATAAAGTTGAATTAGCATTGTTCTGTTTATCTTAAAACCTCAACATATTTGCATACTGTAAGCAAGAATTTGAAATTGGTCATGGAAGACCAATATAAGAACACCTTTTGTACAGTTCCCATTAAAAATTGCTCTTTTTTGCCCAGTGTTTGGCATCTGTATCCAATCATCTGGATGATAAAAGAAGTGATACACATATGAAGTTGAAACAGTACTCATATTTCAGTAGACAAATAAAAAAAGTCAAACTGACACATACTTGTAAAAAACTAGGTACTACATCCTGTGCTGCAGTTGTATTGGGATAAAAAAATACAATTACATTACAAATTTCAAAACGCTACTGTTTGAAGAGAAGAAATCTAGTCAGAAGTAATCAGCAAAGTTTCTATCTTATTACGTTAAACCTATCAATGACAAATATTCCTTCCAAAATTCTGAAATTCCAAATTTTTTAAACTGGCCCTACCTTGTTTTCAAGTTGTGAACACAGTATTATTAAGTGGATAGAGAGCTAAGCATATGAGAAACAGATAAAAATACCTTCTCTCTTGCTGCTGCTTGCTTTTCACGGAGATATTTTTCTCTGCATCGATCGCAAACCAAATACCAGGTGCTTCCTCCAATACCACCATCACCACAATTACCAGCCCATCCTCCACAGAAGTGCCCAATGCTATTATAACCTTGGCCACCTGCATAACGGCCACAACCTATGTCAGGGAAAAAGATGAATAAAACTTATTTCAAAAGGATTATTATTATTATATTATTTATTCCTGTAAGAGAGGGATGGAGAGGGGGAAGGAAGACGTTTGTCTTTTCCTGGCCTAATTTCTTCCTTTTCTGTATCTCTGAAGGGATTAAAAATCCAAGGTACATGTCCACGTGTCCCAGCAATACCCAAAGAATCCAAACACACTGTAGTTCTCAAGTGTTTATTATGAACTTGTCCAAAGCATCAGCAGCTCCCTATTCAGACAGCGAAGTGACGGTAAGGTCAGTATTATATGTCAGCCAGCATTATCTATAATTTAACAAACAAAAAACCTTCCTCCTGTCTGATAAAGCTTAAAAGAGAATGAAGTGCATTCCTTTGCCAATTACTGTTTTTCAGAAAGATTCAGGGCATTGATAATTGCTGAATAATAAGGCTCCTTTACTTTGCTTTAACTTTGCATACAGTGCTAAAATGAGTGCACACAACATCAGCCTGAACTAACTGGCAAAATTAGTTATGTTTACAAGCTAGAAAACACAGAAATCATTTTGTCTTTAACAAAGCAACTTCTTAGTAGCTATACTGAGCTAATCCCCTCTATTAGTGATTCCTTTTCTGAAGAAAACACAACTTCACATACCTTTTGAACTCAGTTGACTAGCGAAGATAATGTCTAGCTAGCACTGATTTACCTAATTTTCCTAAAATTTAACAAACTCCTGAAAAAAATTCAGGGACCCACATAAAGAGGCAAAATAGCAGACTTGGGTTACATTTTGTACTACAACTTGTCTAGAGAGCCGAACTAGATTTTTTTTTTTTTAAAGATACATTTTAAAACAAAAACATTAAGTCACTGATACCCTGTGCTGATCCAGCAGACAAATAGGTTTTCTACTCTTCACAGCAGTACAGAAATAGAAAACTTTTGGCAACATAAAAACTCTTAATTAACCAATCTCATTTTTTAATTTTATTGCCGATTTTCTCAGCACAGTTTCAAGTCTTGAAGTGTAACAAATGGCATGTTTCTAAGACTTACTGTAAAGTCAGCTCATTATTCTGGCCTTGTTTCAGACAACTTTCTTCAGCATCTTTGAAAGCTTAGATCCGTAACTACTTAAAATTACATACACAAACATGTAAATAATTGGTAAGTAAGTGTCTGTAAGTTTTAATTTAGCTTATAATAGTGAACTATGTTAAAATGTTAGACAAGACAGCCTGACATTTTCATAAAAGTACCTAATACCGAAACGTGTGTGTGCAATATATTTTACAGATGGACATATTAAATAATATGTAATCTTACCTGGATGAGCTTGTCTCATGTGATAAGTCACTGGATAGGGATGGGATTCTCCACACAACTCACAGATGGTGTCTTTTTCAGGTCCTCCCACTGCAAGCTGGGCCATCTCACCAAAAAGATTTCCCCTTGGCCTAGTCTCAACCTTCTCTTTTTTCTTTTTCTCTTTCTTGGTTTTCTTGTTATCTTTGTCACTTTCCTTCTTCTTTAACACTGCACAAGAACCAGGACTTGGAAAAATCATGTTTTGGGAAGCTGCTTTAATGGTTGCTAAAGAAATATCTTCCCAGAAAGCTACCAAGTGCTGCAGGGTTAATGGAAGAGGAGACTTTGATTTCATCGTGTGGTGACTGGATGTTTCAAAGGAGGTAGTTTCAGTTTTTCCATCCTCACACTTCTCATGCAGAGGTGGCTCTTTTAACATTGAGAGGACTTTGTTTTTATTGATGCTGCCCATTTTAGATATATCTGGTCCATGAGGGGAGATGTTGAACATGTTAAGAGCAGATGATATTTCCAATGAATGTCTATTTTTCAACTTGGTTTCTTTTTCCTCTGCAGGTTGTTGAGTAAGACTGCTCCGTATTGGCGCATGCTCTTTGGACAGTTCTGGATTAAACTTCAAAAAAGAAGAACAAGCCATGGCATCATGAACTATTCCTTCATGCCAAAGAAATGCAGCAAATACAGCTCTAGCACATTCTGCAACGGAAGGTGACATTGCTTGCTTGGCAGGCTCTACGGGCTTGGAACCATCTCCTTTGAAAAGAAAGCTGGATTTTTCCTTTTTGGGTCTTGTGTGCCTACCAGCACATTTGCGGCTCACTTTTGGAGATGCTCTCATGTCTTGCTCATCTTTCAGCGGTGCTTTTCCGATGCTGAAATGAACTTTGTTAGAGCCATCGTCCAGACATCTGAATTCTGTGTTGTCTTCGCAGGTGCTATCTGTAATGCTGTTCGTCTTTAAAGTACTGGAAGTACATACTTCAACTACCTCACTGTGAAGATTTTCTTGTACAACATGAGGAGAAGGAGCTCTGTTTTCAGTTTCTGTAACAGGTTTTCCATCTTTTGCAATAATTTTTGGTTTGGGTGAAGTCGACCTCCCTCTTAAGGGTTCTGTTAGTGGTACCTTCTTTTTGCGAAGAGTGTCTGGATCTAATGTGTAAGAATCTGATTTAGAGCGTTCTCGAGGAGGATCAAGCTTTGTTTTTACAGGGGATGAAGCTTTCTGAGGTAGAGTTTTGTCCTGGGGTGATGAGGATCGTGGAGAACTAGCACCAGATCTAACGGCTGTAAGTGTCTTTGTCTTTGGAGAAGACGACCGGGTTCCTGGCCCTGGAGATTCAGCTCTCAGACCAGTAGTTGTTCTTCCATCGGTTTTTAGTGTTTGCAGAGTGTTATGATTTGGAGACAAAGACCTGCTGTGAGAGTCTGACCGCAATTTTGCAGCATCTGATTTCAGCATAAGAGACTCACTGGCAGATATGCCTTCTGTATTCCTAGGTTTCTTCTGGTCAGCAGCAGCTCTATTCATTCGCACATCAAGCTTGGGTGACCTGCTGTCAGCTCTGTGTTTTGATGACATATCTGATTTTCCTGCTGGAGAAACTGGTCTAGCAGCTCCTGTGAAATTCATTCGGTCACCTGTTCAGTATAATTTGTAATTACATTATTATATTTTGACAGTGATACCTTTAATAATACAAAACAAGGATTGAAAACCTGAACACAAGATGAAACACATGCTTCTGTTCTTATCAAAATGAAAGGAAATAGAAAGGGCATTTTTTTTCCCATAGAATATTTTCAATACATTTCTACTCCCAAAGATACATACAAACAAGTATTAGGAAATATTTACAGAGAAAACACTACTACGGAGGTATCAAAGCGCACAGTTCTCTATTTCCAGAAAACACTAGTAAAGGAAGCATGATTTACATTCTTAGGTAAAAGGCCAGGTGCTAACTAAGTTTACCACAGTTGCAACAGAAATCAGGGACTGTTTATTTATTATCAGTCAGCTTGACTGCAACAGAAGACTTGCAAGATCATATATTTTACCAGATTTATTTTCTTTAATGCTCAAAAGTCGTGAAACATAGGAAGTATATACAGCTGTAAGGCAAATCGGGCAAGAGGCTTACAAACATGCTTAAAACGATTCACATTGATAATCTGAGGTATCCACCTTTTTATGACCACAAACTGCCAATGTTCTGCTACCAGAACATAAGCTACTAAGAAAACCCCCACCTTTTTCAACCACTAAGCTAAACCACCGACTCCAGTCTATGATGTCCTCTTATTTTGATGCACTAATTTATTGTTCCTGTGTATACTGACTTTATAAGTACATTAATCTACAGAACTACAAAAACTATGGATAGCTTAATACAAACACATACAAAACAAGCAAATAAGTAGCTCATTAAAGCAAACTGCTTCTAATAATTTCTGTGAACACACTCAGTCTCTCTTGCAAAATTGTATTTTGGAAATTAATACAAACTACATTGAAATTACTGGCAAGCAACGCAGCAGTTGTGAATTAAATGTAACTGTCTCTCCACAAAGCAATACACTGCAAAGTCTTGAACGTATAGTTAAGTTGTCCTGATTTGAATGAGTTTTTATTAAACATGGAGAAGTTTCTCTAGCAAAGCTCGTAGAATTAGGTCACAGTACTTTGAATATGTGCAAATTTGGACCTTGATTTTTAATGGGAAGAGAGAGGATCGGCAGTCATCTTCTATCCAGTACCTTCAGTATTTGCTTAGAAGGTGGCAAATCTATTTTTACTGCCTTCTGCATTACTGGATCTGAACCAACTTCTTCCAGTTCTCAATCATGAAATTTTATCCCTATGCTAGAAAATATATAGAAGCGTGGAGTGACCTCAGTTTTTCCTACTCTTGCCTCTCACAGTACAAAAACAAATGGGTTTTTTTGGAGCAAAGTCTAGCAACCTGGAGTCTTCCCCAGCTTATAAAACAATTCCTATTATTTTGCTACCTCCATATTCAAGTAGCTTATAATAAACAGCAACAGGAAAAAGTGAAGAATACCTACACTGGAATATTTAAGAAGCTTGAAGGTTAGGGTACTCTCCTGGCTTCCCAGGACATATGAGATGGTAGGAGTTCATAGTTCTCCAGGCAGAGGAGAAATATTTTGTCTATACTCAGGAATAATATGCCAAATGTAAACAGTAGAATATAATGAGAACATCTCAAACATCATCGTAATCAATATTGAGAGTCTAATCTGTCTTTATTGTTTTTTCTTATGAGTTCTGGACTATTTTTTTTTTTGCGGGGGTGGGGAGGTAGGGGGAAGAGGAAGGGAAGAAATAGCACATTACATGATGCTTTATAAAATGATTGCTCTTGCCAAAAAACTAACAAGTTTCTTAAATATCAGTCTAAGCATTTTGCTCATGCCAGCTCAGTTATTCACCAGTTCTACTGATGACCTATTTTGAGACGTCTACTTTGTGATATATTAATTCAGAAATGGAAGTTATAATTACTTTATACATCCTTCTCCCAGAAAGAAACAAATAAAAAGATGAAATTAAGGTCTGCCAGATGAGAAAACACTCTAGATAGAACCTTTTACAGAATGCCTCATTAAGGCAAAAATGGTGAAAGACAATAGTCTTTTTTGAGGACAGAAAACACTGCAAGCCATTCAGCAATGTATCAAATTCAAAAGTATATGTATGACTAGTGAATATCAAGCAGGAAAACACAAAACTGATTATGAAAGGCATAGCTTAGCAGTAGCTTCCAGCAATAAAAAATCTCATGTTTTTTTAAAAACAAAGGTTTGGATTTGCACATATACAGGTAGATAATCCTAATTAGCATTCAAGACTATCGGCACAAAAATCATCTCCAAAATGAAAAACGCATAATCATGCGGCAAACTGCTTTATCAAACAAAAACCCCCCCAACCCATGTATTTTCTCCGTTTTCTTTCTTCTTCCATATTTCATTTGCCTATTGCTCGAAAACAGGTGTTATTAGATTAGATTAACACCCACCTTTCTGCTTACAAAGCAGAAGGGGAGAGCTAGATCACATATGATGAAGTTGCTGCAACTCAGGAAGGCAACACTGAATGGTTATATGAAACGAGTTCCTAATAAACACCAAACATGAATGTTTACTTTCAAAACATTATTGAGTAAATGAAATGAAAATGAATGGAAGGAGAAAAAAACCCAAAATATTTTGAATGTAAAAAGCTGAATAACCTTGCTACGTTGGCATGCATACCCACCCTTCAGCTTGTGAGAGAGAGATGAAATAGCAGAGGCAGGCCCAGCTACAGCACTAGTTTTGTAAATACGCTCACGAGAAGCAAGGCAGCAGGATGGAGTTTCTACAGTGGAAAACAGTTGCACAGAAGCAGCACAGATTCAATGGAAAAAGCAGTAAAGATAAAAACAAGCATGTCAAATGATATGCATCTCCTTTGTTCAGTATTCCTAATTCATTGTTTAGACTCCTACATTAGTTTTCAATGACAAACAGTTACTTCAAACTGTTTTCCCTGACTTAAATTTCAAAAGAATAAAAGATCTTCTGCAACTTCAGTATTAGTTTGTAGTATCTAAAAACTAGTATGTGTAGTAGCCAATGAGATTTATGGTTTATTATAAAACCCAGCAGTATCTAGTTTTGAACTTAACTCTGGTTTGAAATGTGAATTTTTAATCTGCAAATTCAGAGATTAATTATTTAAAACCACAATATGGCCTTACCAGATGACCAGTTCTCACATTCTTTTGAGAAAATTAGAGAACATCTACGTGTTTGTGCTGGAAAGTCTCACTAATCACTGGAAAGAATGAAGGAAAAAAATATATTAAACCCATCAAAACTATCTGTTTTCAAATCTGAATGCACCTCAATAATGTAATGTTTCGAAAAACTTAATGTATGTAATGTGAACTGTAGTTTCTCAATACTATCAGGAGACATAACTAGCAGTAGGAGAGTTTCAATCAAACAGTATAGACATGAAAACAAAACTGTATCAACCCTTAAAATAATTTTGCCTTAAGAAAAAAAGAAATTTAAATTCTGATGAAATCCAAGATAATTTCAGCAGAGAGTTTACTGATATCAAAATCTGTTAGAGCCCCAAATGAAACTGCAGGGGCTTTTAGTTTGAATTCTATAATTCTACTTTCCTATAATGCTGGCTTTAATTCTAATTCCAATTCCTATTCCTTCCTTTACAAGAAAGTATTTTATTAAAGAGAATTTCTATGTTAGAAGATAATCTGTTTTAGAGACATCCTTTTGTACAAATTGAATAAATGTATTGAAAGTAAGTTCTTTCAGTTGTTGCACTGCTTAAGACATTGTTTTGTCTGGTACTACATTTACTAACGTGCACACATAAATACACTATATGCAATGAGCTATAGTTCTATAGACTCTATAGTGAGAAGGTGTTCACGTTTGAAGTAAGAATTTCTTTAAAAAAATAAATAATCTCTGTTTTCTCAATCCAGTATTAGCACAGATTTAAAAACAGTATTACCTACTTTGACGCCTGCAAATAATTTGACGAGATCCGATACTAACTATGCAGCTTCTAAGTAACAGAATGTCACTCCACCAATTTGTACAGGTAAAACACAGAAAAACAAACTAGGAGCACAAAGTAGCTGTAGAGGCAATCCTAAAAATGTCAATTTGATACACTAGCATTCCATTCTATGAATAATTAAATGAAAATCTTTACTAAATCCACTCTCATGAACGCACATTTACACTTCACTCTTTCACCCTAGGTCTCAGAATACTCACATTTTATAATCTAGTTTAGGTTGAACAACGTACTACTACTCAATCATTTCAAGGGGACTGTGGGTCAAAGAGAATGAGTTTTCCCACATAATCTCCTTGCTGCCTTGGCATACGATGTACACCTAACCAGGATAACTGGTCAACCACAGGGACTAGCTTTTTGATTAGGATTCCTTCTTTTTGAATCACCCTCAAAGACTACAAAGACTTGAAATACAAGGTAGGCAAGGTCTGTCTCATGTCACATCCAAACGTGACAGCTTATCTTTAGTCACACACTTTCCTTCAATGTGGAAATAGCCCCAGCTTGAAAAGCTGCACAATATGGAGACATAAGAGGCAGCTCAATTCCTACGGCAGGATGCAGTCTTCTAACAGCCATGCCTACTTCCCCTGAGGAAACGCTGGTAAACCAATCCAGGAGGCATGACATACCACCAACTGGTCCACGTTAGTCTGTTTTAAACAAACTCTAAAACAAAACTGATAAAATGTCTCTGGAGAGTGGAGATAAGTTTCTTCCACAATGCCACTGCTTTTCTGCATGATGATGAAGGAAAGCACTGACCTGCTTTTGACCTTTTGCCTAAGCAATGGGTGCCTCTTCAAAAAGAACGCATTCCTCTTTAGCTCGCTGTTACTGACATGGAAGCTACAATACAGCTGTTATCTGAATTTCCTCAAGCACTGCAATCACTGTATCTTTTTTCACATCCTGAAAGCGTCAAATGCCATAGTGACAGCTGGACAAGGATTTTCCATGAGTAAAAGAATACACTGAAGTCAACTTAACATTTGAATATTAAAAAGGGAAA